GCAAGTCCCCAGCCTTGAAAGGAAGTACAATAAATATCTGTGGAACTGAAATTCTCCTGAAGGTAGAGAAATGTCCTGGGTATCCCTGAAATGCCCTCCGACTGCTGGAACATATTCCATAGACTCTATGATTGTCCATCTAGGTCTTTGCTAGGCTCTGTGGCAGCTCTGTGCCAATGCCTAGAATCATATGAGGCAAATGTTGATGAAAGTGAACTATGCAACTCTTAGGTGGAGGAGGGAGAGAGGGAATGAGAGAGAATGAGGGAGAAGATGACACTATGTGAAAGGAAATGTACTTATTCTCAGATGTATGAAAAGGTAACCCTGCTGAATATCACCTCTAAAACAGCAATAAAGTAAATTGGGGGAAAATACATGGCTTAATCATTAAGCTGCTTTTCAGAGAACTAGGAGTATCCTAAGATACTCCTAAGAATACTCCTAGTAAGAAGGCCACCCCCTTTTGGAGTACTCTTCCAACACTAGGTAACAACATGACACCCTGCACACAAGTAAATGAGGCTGAAGCCAAGATAGGATTATTTATTTATTTACTTACTTTCTTATTTACTTGCTGATTTTTTTAAGACAATGAAATCCTGTGGCACAATGTGGAGAAAGAGGCATTTAGATCTACACTCTGGCTCTTGACACTTTCCATTGTAGTAGACCTAGGAAATGACCTTAACATTATAGAGTTTCAGTGTCTTCAAATTCCTGAGATATGATTTGTGTGACCCATGATAGACATAAATGTTTTTCCTTCCTTGTCTAACCCTGAGGGTGATGTGTGAGGGCACCCAGAATGAGTTAAGCCAGGGGCATTCTCTGGAAGTCATTATGTCCCTCTAAACACCCCATTAGTCATTTAATAGCCCTGTAGATCTTACATGGTACTAGTACCTGGAAAATAACCAGCAAATAGTAATGTACATTCCTACTTATGGCTTACCTATTGTTTCTTCTGTTACCATCAGATCTTTCTATTTAATGTCCTAGACCTTAAAAAAAAAGTGCCCTGAAACAAGAGGAAAGAAAAAAAGAAAGAAAAAAGAAGATCCAGGTATCAGTGGCTCATGTTTGTAATCCTGGCTACTCAGAAGGCTGAGATCTGAGGGTCCCAGTTCAAAGCCAGCCCACACAGGAAACTCTTGTCTCCAGTTAAACACCAGAAAGCCAGAAGTGGAGCTATGGCTTAAGTGGTAGAGTGTTAGCCTTGAGCACAAAAGCCCCAGAAGTGGCACACACACAAAAATACACATAAATAAAAAGAGGAGGGTCATATGACCTGTTACTCCAAAAGAACACCAAGGATGGATCACTTTCCAAAATATCCATAATCCCAGAAAGTAACTCCATACTTGCCCTTCAATGAAACATTAGAAAGGGAAAACACTGGCAAGCTTCCCTAATCTTGCTGAGTCTAATTGAGCTGGGTGATGACCAACATCTAAGGCATGTGGTGATTGGACAGAGGGCTGGAAGGAAGGAACTGGCATCCTCTAGGCTGCTGGGAATTAGCCAGCTGAGCCACACCAAGCTAAAACAAACTGAAAGTAAATATGGACGAGTAATCAAATGCATATGGGGAAACTCTTCGCCAAATGCAAAGCTTATGTGCTCCCAACAGTGAAATTACCAGTCTTCAACAGCATCTACTCACTCGATGGCAAAATCAGAATGTCTCCTTTCCCAAGCTAGAGGCCAAACCTTTGGAAATGGTGCCATTGTCTCTTTGTTCTGCTCATCATGAGCATCAAAGTAGCTTTGTATTATTTTAAGAAAAGTGAGATTTTTTTTTAATTGAGGGAAGGATCTCTCTGTAAAAGTGACATTCCTAGCTGTTGTTTGTGATGCCTTTAGGAGATGCATGTGTCTAGTATGCCATCATTTCCATGGTCCCTTAGCATCCTCAGATGAACCACACTGTAAAGAACACTCTCTTGCCTTTAGGCAGAGGGTCCAGCCATTTTTACTCCTAACGCTTATCTTCTTCCACATCTCTTATTGTTATCCCATGTTATGGTGAAGAAGGATTCCTTGTGTGGTCCCATTCCCATTTCTAAACATTCCCCAAACTCCACATCACTCCCTAATAAGGGAGGATTATACTAGTTAGAGTAGATTCCAGATGACTTGTTTTCTAAAGGTTATCGGAGAGACAGTGGCCAAGTGGGAGTCTGGGATTCAGAAAACTTTGAAAACGAATACTTGAATAAGGGTATACAAAGAGAAAAGCAGAGGATAATATTCTTTTCTGACTTGGTGCTCTTTTAGAAAATCTCATAGAGGAAACATAGAGTGAAAACACAGCAGCGTTTAAGGAATTTCCTCTCACCAGATTGTCTCCGGTCCCTTAATGGTGTTTAAGCCTCGCTGAGTACTTTGTTTACACTCCCTAGTGTAGTGATTTGCATCCCCCGCTGCCCGCGTTGCTGTGGGCTGGGGCAGCAGCTGTCTCAGTTGGAGTCTGGCTAAGAAAGGTAAGAGGTCTTTTCCTTGTTCTTTGAAAGATCTAGGAGAGTTTGCTGCACACTCACTGGGGTTAAGGAAGGGGAGATCTACATGTAATTTATGAATTGGAAGCTTAAAAAAATGTTTGCAAATTGAACAGGGTCTCCTAATGCCCATGAGATTTTTTTTCCCTCTCTTTTCTGAAAGATAGAGGCTTGCAGAAAGAAGGCTGGATGCTTGGTAGATTAAATTTTGCTTATGGAAGCAGGTGTTCCTGAAGGGATTCTCCAGGGGGCACAGTGGGGAAGGAGAAATAAACCTTCAAAGCCAGTGGCCAGTCACTAGGAATTCTCCTTGGATTTCAACTGGAAGAGGTGAAGTCAGCCAAAGTTGCGCCTAGCAGTGATTCCAGTGAGAAGTGTGCATTCTGATTCTGTTTCTGACGGATCTCCAAGCTTTCTAGTTGTAAATGAGATCTGAAGCCTGAGAAGGCTAAAGCTTTTGGGATTGCAAATGAGCAGCAAACTTTCCTGTACTGGGCTCTCAAGGGCTCAGCTCCATTCACTCTCCCTCGATCTGGAACCAGCCCAGGGCTGGCTGTGCACAAGGGTGCCTCTGGCCCTTCTAACCCATCAGTTCATCACTTTGGCTATGATGATGGGCATGTGTGGTCTTCCAACAGAATAAGGGGATACACTGAGATTTTTTAAAGGGAGACTAGAAAATGACTAGAAAGTAGAGTGGAACTGTCCCCAAAGCTATAGGACTGTTGCTGTCTTCCTAAGAACTTCTGTGTCTTGGGCTCTCCATTGACATCTTTCCCACGGTGCTTTTGGCAAGTTCTGAAATGCCCTGGTTCTAACTGTCCCTGCTTTCAAGGCCCAATGGCAGGACGCCTGGTGCTTTGCCAGATGGCCTGGGGGGGGGAGGGGGAGGGGGCAGGTGCAGGGGGCGAGGAGGAGCTAGCTGAGGTCTCCAGGTGGCTCCTCCCATTCAGTTACTTCTCTGGAACTTTTCAACTTTTAACTTTTGAGAAGAAGGAGGAGGAGGAGGAAGAGGAGGAGGAGGAGAAGAAAAAGAAGAGGAGGAGGAAGGGAAGAGGGAGGAGGAGGAGGAGGAAGCTGCCATCTCTTCTAGCTTTCATTCCAGAAATACAAAGGACTCCTAGTCCTCCTCCCTTTGTGACAAAAAAAAGATATTGTTTTTAGGCAAAACTAGAAAGAGTGGGGATCCTCAAAAGACTGACAAGTTTGAAAAGATCCAAGCACTAAAGAAATTTAACAATCCCACAGAAAGGAGGGAAACACAGCTCTTCCATGCATCTATGTGGATGTGTTAATTAGCACAGGTTGTTTTGTGTGCGTGTGTGTTTTGTGTTGGTTTTTAATCTGAGCTATAGTATCGTAGGAGCAAGCCTCCTAGAGAGATGACTTAGGGCTTTATGTATTTTGATTATTTAAAAATTTCAAATAGTTTGTTTACAAAGAAGCATAACCTCCCAGGCCATTGATGATTTTGAGAAATTGACTTGGAAGTTTACTATTTGAGACGACAATGTGTTACATCATATGTGTCCAAACATTGAAAATACTTTGCTTCTTAAAATGGTCCAAGGAACAGCAGCCTTGACACAGGTGCGGAGCTTGCTTGTGGTAGACCTACTGAGTCAGAATCTACATTTCACACACAACCCCAGGAGGTAAATGAGATAAATGCACCCTTTAACAACCTCTTTAATAACCAGTCAAATCAAGAATTTCTTTTGTCTTTCTTTTATTAGATTACTTAATGTCTCCGAGCCTCTATTACCTCCTACTAAATTAATGAGATCCAAAGTTAATGTGCAACGTACATTCCTCTTTTTTTTTTCTTTTGGCCATACCTATAGTAAGTATTGTATAAATAGCGGTGGTGCTGATAAAGACGATGATGGTGATGATTTCAACATTGCCAAAGTCACTTCCCTAACACAAGTAGTAAGCAATCCTACTTAAATCAAGATGACAACCATCAGTATTAGTATTCCTTCCTCAATGAAGTAGCATCCCAGTGTGTATGTGGGGGGAGGGCTTCAGATGAGCATTACACACACAGAAGTAAAGAATACCAAGAAGACCCAGGAAAATAGACGTTGTGCTGGTGTAGAGGCTGAATTCAGCTGCCGGTGACTTCACAGCTGCTCGGCCTCCGTGGAGCTCCAGTCCCTCAGCTCTGTCCCTGCAGCGGATCGGCAAGCTGACTCTGGGATTCTCTTATGAAAATGCCTGATGGGCGGGAGGAAGATCTGGAGGTTGGCTGGGGGAAAAAATGAGTAATTCAAAGCAGCCTGCTTAGTAAACGCTGTGAGAGAAATAAAAGTCAACGCTGGCTCCTGTCTCCAGGGACTCTGTAGAAATGATCTTGACTTATCATGTCACTGAGCAGAGTTGAGGGAAGCCAAAACTCGGAATCTGCTGGCAAGGAAAAGAAGGAAGGGGGGGAAAAAGATAGGGAGGAGCAGACCGGAGGGGGGAGGGAATAAAAAGAGAGAAGGGAGGAAAAGACGAGCGTCATTTGGAGCAGAGGTAGTTTGAAAGAAGAGCTTCAGGATTCCACACTAAACCTGCAATCAAATATTGGTCTTTCTTTTCCCCCCACAGATCTTTGACTTGTTATTTTGGTGACAGCCCCACCGTGACAGGAAATTCTCTAGAAGTTGCAGGAAGATATTCAACCATCGCTAATTTATTTTTTTAACCTCCGAGTCCAGTGGTTTCCCTGGAAATGGACTGCAGCTCTCAGAGGTATGTGTGAATAGTTTGGGGAAAAATATCTTTATTTTTTTTTTCAGGTTAGCACAATCTTAGCTTTGGGGGAAGGGGTGAAGATTTTAAAACTTTTATCCCAGATAAAAAAAATCAACTTTTTTTTTTTTTAACTGGCCCAGCCAGTATTTCTTTAGGGTATTATTGAACAGCAGTGATTCATTTGTTTGGTGGTTAAAGCTTACCCACAAGTAGACAGCACTAATTGCTTCATTGCTCAGAAAATGACATTTTGACCTCCCAGGATTGGAAGAAGGAGAGGGAGAGATGTTAGATTTGGGGCTACTGTTTCTATTCAATTGATGCTTACTATATTCAAAAGATTAAGCTCATGGAAACACTCTCTAGTGTCTCCCAGTAAACTCTTTTGAGTCATAGCCTACTTAGCTTCTTGAGGACACAAGACAATGACTACATGTCTGGGCAGTGAGCAGACTTCCCAGTGGCTTCCTCCAGAAGCCTTTTAACCAGGTGCTTTTGATTGAGGTTCTCTCATTTTGTTCTGAAATGCTCAGGTTCAAAACACCTGAAAAGGAGCAAATTTTGCACACGAGAGGGCTTGGGGAGGGATATATTTTTCAAACTTTATTGGCATCTACCGTGTGTAAGCATGTCACAGTACATGTAATATCAAAATTCCACCTCGAGTTTCATAGAAAATTTGTAAATTGATGGCTAATTATCTTATTAGAGTATTTGACTTTAACATGAGAAAGGACAAAATTTTACATCCATGAACTTGTTACCTAAAAAAATTAAAAACATCGGACTGGGAAGGTGGCTCAGTGGTAGAGCGCTTGCCTTGCATGCATGAGGCCCTGGTTCGATTCCTCAGCACCACATAAGCAGAAAAAGCCGGAAGTGGTGCTGTACCCAAAATGGTAGAGTGCTAGCTTTGAGCTGAAGAACTGAGAGACAGCGCCCAGGCCAACTTTAGGCCCCATGACGGAAAAAAATTTTTTTTTCTTAAATCAACTCTTATTTTTCCCTTTTAAAAATGGCTAGATGATTTCAACATTTCTAGTTACAAATGTGGTTAATCTCGCTGTCAATGGCTTTTGGGTCTTTGGTTTTTTCGTTTTTGTTTTTGTTTTTTTCTGAACTGCCCATCTGGTGGGGGACGAGGGTGGCAGAGAGTACAATAAAAATGTCCCCAAGTTGAATAGGAGCAGGATGAAGACTCATTGATAGTTGGAGAAAAATGGAAGTTGGTAATTTGTGCACTGGCTCCTTGGCTTGACACTGATTTTTGCCAGCAGTGAATGGGGTGATAGCTTGGAAGGAATGCTTGTTATGCCTGACGAAATTGGCCAAGTGTTTACAGAACAGAAAAGCAATAAACAAAGCAGAAAAGTTTATTTAAAAAGAGGGGGGGAGCACACGAAAAAGTTTGTTGCTTTTGATACCTTTCTTTTCTTTATGTTTATCCACTTCATGGTGCCCATTGCAGAGAATGCAACATTGAGGGAAAAGATAGAACTTGAGTTTGATTCCCAGGAGGCCCCAAAGCCTCCTGGGAAGGAGAGACCCCTGTAGCAATTTCCATCCACCTACAAGGTCTATGCTGGTGCTGGTAGCTGATGACTCCTTCTCCTGTCTGTTTCTTCCTAGCTGCCGCCACCCTGGTGAGCTTCTCCGTGCCTAGGTTGTGAACTCAGCTTTCAGCACTGTCGCTGTAAACATGACAGAAGAGCCTGTAAAGGAGATCCTGGGGGTCCCAAAGTCTCTCACCCCAGTGATAATGGAGAAAAACCCCAAGAGCGAAGTTGTGGTCACCACAGTCCCCTTGGTCACCGAGGTCCAGCTGATGGCTGCCACGGGGGGCGCAGAGCTCTCCTGCTACCGCTGCATCATCCCCTTCGCCGTGGTGGTCTTCATCGCTGGCGTCGTGGTCACCGCCGTGGCCTACAGCTTCAATTCCCATGGCTCCATCATCTCCATCTTCGGCCTGGTCCTTCTGTCCTCTGGACTTCTTCTGTTAGCTTCCAGTGCTCTTTGTTGGAAAGTGAGGCAGAGGAACAAGAAAGCCAAGAGGCGGGAGAGCCAGACGGCTCTGGTGGTGAATCAGAGAAGCTTGTTTGCTTAAAGACTCAATGAGACCAAACTGGCTAAGGGGCCCCAAGATCCTGTTCTCACTTGGTCAGCCGATTTCATCCAGGACCGGTGCGGGAGAGAATGAATGGGCTTGACTTTGGAGCAGACTGGACAAATGGGTAGGAGGAAGGCAGGAGGGCTGTGAGAGGAGGGGGAAATCTCTCCTGGTGAAGAATGAGCTGTCTTCTCTGTGAACATCTCCTTTAATGACAAGCTTAATCCTAAGGGCTATTTCTGGGACAGAGGAGTCCGCTCTCTCTTTAAGTTAAACGTTTTGGGGGCTGTGGACAATATTAGACGTTTGGCTCATCTTGAAAAGTAGCCAAGAAATGATGAGAAAAAAATAATTAAAAAATAGCCCTGGCACATCAGATACCTGCCTTTGAAAGAAAGAACCCACATTCTGTAAGAAGTTATATTATACAAATGTTCTCCTGAAAGGTCTACATTGCCTTAGAATTTGCATACATCTTTGAAATTCTGATTTATTTTTTTGTTTCAGTAAGTTGATTCTCTGGCACTCATTTTTATTCTTTACTTTCAGTAACTCATCACCGGTGGTACTTTATCTTGAAGAATTAATTTTTTACATATATATATTTTAACATTGGACAGTGTTAGGAGATTATAATGATGCGTCAGAATTAAAAATAAAAGGTATAGGTAACAGAAGGTGGGGGGTTAAATTAATATTAATCTGATATAGCACTTTTGATGATTTTTTTACATAAAAGTCTAATGTGCATTTCATTCAAAATAATAAATACTCATTGCTGCTGAATCTTCTAAGTGGTTGTCTCTGTTGTACTTAATTTTATTTCATTTCCAAACTGTCCATCATCCTACATCTCATTTTCAAAGCGCCAGCTCTATTTCTTCACCTTGGACTTGTTGTTCCTTTGTAACATTAATGGAAGATTTTTATCTTCCTCATTTCATTCCTTTTAAGGAATAGAGTTATGTTTCCTATGCTCTAAAGGATTCCGATGCCCTTATGATTAGGAAATTAATGCCTGCGGTCATAATATGATATGTTCTATTATGCATTCCATTTTTGTGAACATTCCCTTCTGAGGGGCATCTATTTTACCAGGCATTCTGTGGATCTACAGGCTGCTTTGCTAGTGGAGATGCCATACAAATAAGGCCATTATTCAACATTTTCTGTGGAAATTAATTTGTTCCGCAGATGGGACTCTATTCTGACATCAGCCAGAAGTAATTCTCATTTACGTAGTTTAAACCACATTAAAACAGTGGAGAAGATAGACATGAAGCCTTAAAACCTGGTGACAAATTCCAAAACCAATCCTAGCATAGCTCATTTCTTAGAAGGCATTCTTTTCTTTTCATATATATATATATATATATCTTTTCATATATATATATATATATATCATATATATATATATATCTTTATTATCTTTAAGTAGTTGTGCAAAGGCGTTGCCATTCAACAGAGCAGTTTATGAACACAATGCATCTTGATGGATGTCACCCAAGGCATTCTTTTCAATATGGTGGAGGCCCGCCACATGACCACTTCCTGGTATTCAATGTTGGGAAGTAGGAACATCTTGATGCTTTTGGGGTTTGGATGGTAGATCAGTGTTAGGTGTGTAGACTAACCTTAGAGGTGTAAATCAGTGCTCCTTCCTACCAACTGCAAGTAAGTGGAGGTGCTCTTATTTCCTGCTCAAAGACAGTGAAAGGCTCTTCATGGCTTTGTGAAGAAATTTCTCAGGCAAGTTTCAAGCTTCTCCAATCTGCACTGAACAAATGTATCAGCGTTGACTCTCAGCGTTGACTAAAGCTACTTAGTCCCAAAGCTCCTTGTGAGTTAGCAATGTAGAGTCTTCACCATCCTATAGTGGGCTGTTTTCCTACTTCTTGCTGTTGTGATGATGGTGCCACCTTTTCCTCTGCTTCATACCCAAATCCTGCTGCTTGTCAACACTCCAGCCCCAAGGCAACCTCCTCCTCAAACTCCCTTTTATCTGAAAGTAACTGTTCTCTGTCCAGTTATTTCTTCCTTAGGTTCTGATAGCACCTTTCACTTTCTGTCACATCAGTGGCATAAATACTTTATGCATGCTCCACAGCTGCTTAGAAGTGTGTGAGGTACTTCTTAAACTCTAATGTGATGCTTAGTATAATGTCTTGCACAAGTAAGAAACTCAACAAGTACCTAAGGAGGTGCTTAGTAAGCCCAAGAATGAAAACCAGAATGTTGAGTGGTATAAACAGAATTACAGTCCTCTACTTTCTCTAAAAATAGTTTAGTTCTCAACTTGCTCCAAAACAGGTCACCCCACTCTCCACTTCTCCTGTGAGCGCCAGGTCTAGGAGAGCACTGGCCACCTTTGCACTTCTTCAGCCATACCTTCTACCCTCAGATAACACCAAGAAAACCAACACAGGAATTACATCCAGCCACCAGGGGGCCTCATGCTGCTACCTGAGTCACCAAAGAAATCCTATGGAAAGCCTTACATTATCATAGTTAAAATGGGATTCAATTTGCAGACAGCAGTATTTCTCCTAGCTGTGAGGAGCTAGAGGCAGTCCTCCAACTGGCCAACTCCTACCTATTTCTCTAAGCTTCTTTACGATGGCTATATCCAAGTTCTCTGAGTATAGCCTGCTTGGGAGCCTTCAGACACATTAAAGCTATTCATCTTGCAAAGCTGTAAGTCACAAAGAAAGACAACCCACTGAGAATTAAAACTTCCATTAGAAAAATATCCTGGGCTGCAATCACACTTACCACAACTATTTCACCACATGTCTTTATTGGGAAAAGTCTATCTTTACAAATGGTTCTATTACGTACAGCCAAACAGATGTTTAATGTGTACATTACACTCAGCATGCATGAATGGATTGAAAAGGTTGCCAGTTCCCCCCTCCCCTCCCCAATGATGCATCAGAAATCCACTATACTACTGGGCAAGTTTTACACCAAGATCTCATCCCAGAGTGCACAGGAAAAACTTTTAACTTCATCCTGTGCATTAGGTTTCTGGCCCATTTGAGGAGCACAGCTGTCTAGAAGCTTCTGCTCTCCCCCTCTTGACTGTGTTGGTTAATCTTGTGAATCTTGTCTAGAGAAGGTACTCAAAGAGGTCAGATTGGTAGTAGAGATACCTGAGACCAGAGGATAAACCCAGGAAAGCTAAATCACAAATGCTTGTATCTACCTCTTTGTACCTAAAAGAAGAGAGAAGAAGAGGAAGAAGAAGAGTAGAACAAGAAGAAAGAAGAAGATGATGATGACAGATGGATGGATAGATAGATAGATAGATAGATAGATAGATAGATAGATAGATAGATAGATAGATAGATAGAATGAAGATTCTGGTCTCCTAGGAAGTATTATGGATCTAAACTTTGAAGATCTGGTTATAAATGTCAACTATCCTGTTACACTCCCCAGGTAATCTTGAGGAATCAAGCTTCATCTTTACAACGGGGTCAGTTACATAAATGATTTTAAGTTTGGCAACTATAAAATGCTGCAATATTTTTAAATTGCTATTTGTAATACTAGCTTATATTGACTTCAACTTCTTTTTCTACATAAAGTCCCACTCAACGTATCATTAAGTATTAGCCCTTTGTTGTTGTTTTTATGTGAAAATACCATACAGAGGGGTTACAATTACATGGACAAGGTAATGAGTACATTTCTTATCAAGCATTGTTGCCTCCTCCTTTGTCCCCTTCCCATCCCTTCCCATCTCCTCCCCTACCTTTTCAACATAACGTCTTGTACATCTCATTGTTGCAATGGGTCTACCTGTATTCCTATTTAAACATTTTTTTCCCTTCCCCTCCACAAATTATACCAACATCAAATACAGTGAAAACAGGAGATATACTGTGGGGGAGGGACATACAAAGCAACAAAGAAATCATCTTATAAATATGTCGTACAAAGCAACAAAGAAATCATCTTATAAATATGTCAGAAACAATCGCAAGAAAGAAAAAACATTTGAATCCTTATCTTGGGGTTCATTTCACCTAACATCAACTTATCTGACCATAACTGCTTGTCTCAGACAGATGGCTTTAGTAGGTTCCTTTGTTTAACCTTGATATTATCTACAACCTTTCTAGGCCCAAAATAATCTGCCTGTTTCAAAGATGAATAATAATTTGTTTCTTAATCATAATTTATGTTTCCTAATGTTCTAATTTTGAATACTTGAACCTATGTTAGAGCCATCACAAAGGCACATTTAATATGCAAATTCAATTATGCATTCCCAACAAAAGGGGAAATCGAGAAATTACAGAGAAGTGAAAATAAATTTGTGGTTCATAACTTTTGAACCTCTAAAAGCCTGTATCCCAATCTTAAAGCCTAGCTAAAAAATATCCATGGGGGGGGGAGGCTGGGAAGGGATGTGAAGGGTAAACAAAAGGAGGAGGCTGCAATGCTTGGTAAGAAATGTACGCATTATCCTGGCCATGTAATTGTAACCCCTCTGTACAGTATCTTCACAAATAAAATAAAATAAAAAAAAGAACAGCCCCCCCCAAAAAATATCCATGAGTAATTTGGTCAGACTCGGTTATTTTCCTTATTGTATGACTCTAGTGCTTGATCTTGTATATATCAGGATCAACCCCCTTGATATTAGACAATATACCTTACCAGAGTGTAAATGTCCACTCTGTTTTTCAATTGAAGAACTTTGGGCTCAGAAAGTTGACTTACTCAACCAAGATCTGACAGCCAGCAAGGCCTAGCACTCGGATGACAAAGTAGAACGTACGATATAGTCATTCCAGTCCTTCAGGGCTGCTGTAATTGGATATTAGGTTGGGATGCTTACAAACAGAAGAAAAGCTTGTGGGATCACCTCCCAAGCTGTCCTAGGGTCATGTGTGACCATCGGAGCTTGGAAGGATGATGATGGCATGTCATTTCTAGAGGTTAGATTATGGAAGACTTGAGACTTCCATTTGGATTCTTTTCCCCCTCTCTTGCTTGAACTCTCACTCTCTTGCTCTCTTTACAATTGCTCTTGGGGAATTCATCAGTTATGCCATGTAAGCAGTTAACCAGCTGGGGGGAGGAACTGAGGTCTCCAGCTAATAACCAGAGCACGGAACAGCCTGCAGCCATCCCAGTGAGCATGGAAGCAGATCTTCCCCGCATGGAGTCTCTAAGAACCAGGTTCCCATCCACAGCTTGACTGAGGTCTCAAGAGGGAGTGCCCACCGGCCAGCACTACCCACCAGGGCAGCTGTGTGTTGGGAACTTTTTCTCCTGTGAGCCTTTTCCTCCATAAATAAGACTAGTGTACTCACTGATATGCAAATATTGGCAAACACAATGGGGCCTAGACACTATACTTATCGCTCCTAATGGACAAATTGGCACTGAAATCAGCTAAGTCACACCTTCACTACTTATCTACTGAAACTGTGAGATAGTAAATGGTTGTTGCTACATTTAAAAGTTATTTGTTGTACAGAAACAGCTCATTGTATTGTACAACTGTACAGTTTCCTTTGCATGATTTTGATAAAATCTGTACATGCTCTGGATGACTAGATATAGGCATGGAATTCCTAGACTCATTGGTAGGCATGTATGGACTTTTCTGCCAGTCATCAGAGTGGTTAAATCAGTCAACACTGGGAAAGAGATTGGATGTTCTGCTTCCTCACTGATTTGTATTATTGCCCGTCCTTTCCACTGTATGAATTCTGATGGGTGTAACATCTGCTTTTAAA